TTGTTCATCTTGGGGACGAGGTTAATGAGGGTCTGAAGGGTGTGCAGGCCTTTGGCCAAGTGTCCTCATCATTCTGCACCAGGCCAGGCCACTGAGCCAGATAAGCCGTGATGATTTTCTGTCCTCTGAACTCACCCCTGATCCCTTCCTCTGGCCTAGAGCCACATACGCCAAGTCTGGATGAGGACGGGATCAACTTAGAAGAGATCCGGGAGTTTGCCAAGAACTTTAAGATCCGGCGGCTGTCCCTGGGCCTCACACAGACCCAGGTGGGTCAGGCTCTGACTGCAACAGAAGGCCCAGCCTACAGCCAGTCAGCCATCTGCCGGTGAGTAAGGCTGCCTGGGCAAGGTCAGGGCCTGCTCGGGTGCCTGGTGCCACTAGGTATTCACAGGGCCCTCGGTATCTGACCCCTTTATACTCCCTTGCTCCTGCCTTCTTCCAAATAAGGAAGGAAGCTTTAAGGGTAAGATATGAATACCTAGAGTAGCTAAAGACTGATCAGGTCCTCTGAGGGGCCTCTGATGTTTGTCCTCTAATCCTGAGCATTTACATAGTCCTTTTCTGGGAACCCAAGACCCTAACTTGTTCAGGAATCCTAGAGGGAAGGAGTACAGCTTATGAAATGAGTCACAAAGGTGGGAACTTCAGTCCTGGCTTGGTCTCAACTGTACCCCACCATCACCCCTATCATGCTCCCGTCTCTCTGTCTTATAAAGCATGACTCTAAAGTGATGTAACTGGCTTCTGTGTGCAGCGTATAAACTGGCTCTTGTGCCAGTATCATAGGAGGGGTAGCAGAGGATTTCAAACAAGAATGAGTGCATGGTTCAAGGATGGCCGAAAGGTTTCATCTTTCTTCCAATTCCATAGATAGACTACAGTGACTGTTAGACTCAGTGTCATGTTGGGAAGTCTGTAGTCACATGTGGGCTCTGACTTGGTGATGCTGCTATGAGAGTGTAGTTAGAGGAGGACAGCACTCATGCTGTCCATTTGCTGTGTCTGGAGGCCTCTCAAGATAACACCTCAAAGGACCTCACTTATTTGGGTGTGAAAGTTCTAGAATGGTTGTTCATATAGCAGACTTACTGTTATCACTGCACTACTGAACTGAGGCCATGGGAATGGTCCCTGTGTTATGATCTGAGATACAGGACAATCTGAGAAGTCTGGGCTTGATCAAGCCAGGGGGTTCTTGGTGGGAGTGGTGAGGAGCAGCCCCTTGAGGACACATCTGGCATGAGGAGTAAGACACTCTCACCGTCCCTTGCTGGGCTTGGGTCACCTACAGGTTTGAGAAGCTGGATATCACACCCAAGAGTGCCCAGAAGCTGAAGCCGGTGCTGGAGAAGTGGCTGAATGAAGCCGAACTCCGGAACCAGGAAGGCCAGCAGAACCTGATGGAGTTCGTGGGAGGTGAGCCATCCAAGAAACGCAAACGCCGCACCTCCTTCACCCCCCAAGCCATAGTGGCTCTCAATGCCTACTTCGAGAAGAACCCACTGCCTACTGGCCAGGAAATCACGGAGATTGCTAAGGAGCTCAACTATGACCGGGAGGTTGTGCGGGTCTGGTTCTGCAATCGGCGCCAGACACTCAAGAACACCAGCAAGCTGAACGTCTTTCAGATCCCTTAGGGCTCAGCCCCCAGCCCTGTGTTCCCGCACTTTGTACGTGTCCCTTGGCACTCGGCTGCAGCCACGGCCGTGACAGCACCTGTCATTCTGCTACATGTGGCTGTGCTTGTCCTGGGTCTTGAGACTCCACCATGTGCATGCCTGTCAGCTGCCTCTCTCCTGTTCCCCACATATTGCACATCGTGGGGAGGGCAGAGGGGCGCACTGAGAGCACCAGGCTATGGGCTGGTCATGCTGAGGGAGTGGATTTGTGGTGTCACTTAAAGAAGCACTTTGCGAATGTGGTTTTTGAAGGGTGAAGTCTGGTTGAGAACCAGAAACTCCCCGTCTTTGGGGTAGGGCTGCAGCAGCCCCTAAGGACTGGCCATTAGCTCCTATTTTCAATGGCATCTCTTTCCACCCTCTCTTCTTTGCTCCTCTGTGTAAGTGTGGCAGGTACGGCAGCTCGTCCAGTAGAACCACAGCCTCACCCCTCTGCAGGCACACTATCCCCTGAAAGGATCCAAGAGACACAGTTCTGAAAAGTGTGATGTGCTGCTCAGAAGGTCAGACTCAGTGTCTGTCTTGACCTCGAGGTCAGAAGGTTCCACAGCCCTGGGGCCAGAACATGTCACCTCCTCTCCCACCTCTCCCTGGTCCTTTGGAGGAAAATTGCACTAAAGCAGAACCTTTTCTTTTGTAATCCATGTGAACTCTAGCTGTCCTGGAGTTGACCTGGGCCTGTGGCAGGTTGGGAACTTAGTACCTAAGGCCATTCTTCCAGATTTTAATCTAATATCTGACCATGACCATCTCCCCCCAAAACAGTGTGGGTTAAGAGAACTTGCAGCCTGGAAAATCCCCTTCCCAAGCAAGCAGGCACTTTGGAGAAAAATGAGGAAAGAAGTGCTGACTCTTTCTCTTGTCCTCATATTCTTCCCAACCCAGGACTCTGGCCCTCTCAGAAGGGGCAAATTAAACAAAAAAACAGGCAACAAGGCCTAGGGGAAAGGCCAACATCCAGAAAGAGCTGATGGCAGCCCACCCAGGAAGGTCTCTTGTGGAAAGTGACTTAACTCTAATTTTCTTTGTAGCTTTAAGCCTTGGATCCTGGAAATCTTATTTTGTCCAGAGTCTTAGACCCTGTGTTTGTGTAAGTAATCTCCCCAGTGCTCCACTGAACCAAGAATACCCCTGGAAAAGGATGAATTTTGCCTCTAGAGAGGGTAACTATGACACATTGTGGGTTGGCGTCTCATCCGAGCTCCTCAGTGAGTTTCCCAGCCTCACCGTGGCCAGATAACCCCTGGAACTCAGCACGTGACTCCAGGAAGTCTGGAGAGCGCTAAGAGCTTTGCTTAGATGAGCCCAGCCTTGCTGTGTAGAGCATCCCTAAAGGGCCACAAGTCACAGGGGTCAGCCACCAGCTCTCTTCACTACTTCTGTACAGGTCTCTAGCAGCTGCCCTCACATGATACACCTGGAGGAAGTGACTGTCAGGCACGGGCACATCTCCAATTCTGCTGGTCACTGGCAACCACCTCCTAGCCTAGCTTCCTCTGGCATCCTGTTTCCTTTCCTGCCTACAACTGTCCCTTCTAGGCCCTGCAGTACCAGCATGGCCACCCTCTTGGTAGCCCTGCCAGTGGGAAGAAAGTTGTGTGTCAAATGGCCACACACACACTCCCACCCCACTGCACTGGGACCAACCAACCTGACAGAGTGAGGAAGCAGGTGTGCATCTTGCCTGTGCCAGCTTCCCAGGAGAAAATGTCTTCAAGGGGGAGGCTGCACACCCAAGTTCAGGGTTATCAACCTAGTCTCAATGAGATGAAGGGAGGGGCGTTGTAAATAAGTTTTCAGCACCAGTTAAAGTACTAGAGTTTGTTAAGGATTCAGTGATTTACACATCAATAAACTAGAGCAGCGATTTTCAACCTTTTTCATCTCATGGCACACGCTACTAAAATTTTGCACACCAAAAAATATGTTTTTTTCCAATCTGACAAAAAGGTATAATTTTGACTCAGTCACACCAAATGGCTATTGTGTTGGCTTTTGTCATTTTTTTATTTGACAGTCTAAGGGAAAAGAGGTCAGTGCCCCTGACTAAATAGTTAGGTATTGCATGTGTTAAAAATTCTTGTGGCACGCCATCTGAAAATCTCTGAATTACAGAGATACAGGTTTTTACCCTCAAACAGTTGTGTTCAGATATGCTATCTCCCAGGTGGATCATGGCTGGTACCCTTGGAGTAGCATATAATCTGGGGTGTGTCCATGGCAGTGGCTGTGCAGGACACCATCTGTCTGGTGTCAGGGCAGGAAAAAGATAATGAACTGCTGCTGGTCTAAATTAGGCATGGCCATGCTTTCTCTGTTCCTCCCTCATCTAAATCCGCCTTCCCAAGGCTAGGCTAGAGCTAAACCATTTTCTCCTCTGCAGAAAGGATGGGCAGATCTTTCAGAGGAACAATTACCAGGGGCAGAATATTCGCAGGCTGAATTCCCCAGGCAGGAGGGCGCAGGCTTTCCAGAAATGTCCCCAAAGTGGAGCTCACCAGCCTATGATGATCTCTTTCCTGCTTCCTCACTGTAACCTCCCCCCCACCCCCTCGGGGAAGCAGCTGTGGCCCTGAGGCGGGTTTTCTGTTTTGTTTTTGGTAGCATCAGACTCTAAAGGAGTTGATATAAGTTTGCTTTGAAAGCACCTTTCTGGACTTAAAGCCAGAGCTCAGTGGCTCCTTTGCCTTGGAAAGGCAGGAGAAAGGGCAGAACATGTTTTACTGTTTGCTTGTGGTTTTGTTTGTTTTTGTTTTTAGTGAAAGAAAGACCAAAACTTTCTGTGGCCTGGTGAATTAGCCAAGGCCTTTGACCCTGCACTATGCATGGAATTTTATCCGGGTGGGGTCCAGGGAAAGAATTTGGCCAAATGGATTGGGGAACACACTTGAATCTGGAATGAGAGTCCCTGATGTTTGTGTCCTTGGAAATCTGATCACCTTCCTATGCCTAGATTCCCCTCCTATCTCAGGCCAGGCTCTGACAGTGAGGTTCTGACTGTCCCCAACATGGTGCAAAACCTGCTGAGGGCTGGAGTGAGGGCTGGGGAGGGGAGAAACACTTGCTGTAGTTGTGTGGAATAAACAGTATTTTTCTTTTGTACTGGTCTGCTTGTTTCTCCTTCACCTCTGGGGGAAGGGAGAGATAAAAGGGAACTCATGTTAGAGGCCAGGGAAGTTATCAGTGAGCTGCCTTTGCTGTCAGAGCTCATGGCCTGGAAAATCCCATTGCAAGAGGGTGAAGGTCAGTGGATTCCCACTTCAGAAGGCCCTGCCCCTGGCCCTCCAGCCAAAACCCCCTCCATGGGGTACAGTGTCAAGGGAATGTGCCCTTTCTCTCTCTCTCTCTCTCTCTTTTTTTTTTGCCCTTTCTAGACAGCCCTCCTGGTACCTTGTGTTTCCAGGGAGACAAAGAGACCTCAGTTCTTCTTCAAGGAAAGATTTCCATTAAGAGACAAAGTGTAGCAAAGTAAGAATTTATTGGCCACAGCAAAAATATACTTAGGACAGTGAAACAAGGAAGGGCATAGAAGAAACAGGAGAGCCTAGGCTGGGCTGCTTTGGTTCACTGAGAAGTCAGAGGAAAGGGGGCTTGAGACAGGTTCAGGGGGTTAGCAAGGGACAGGCTGCCACTGCCTACTGCTCCCCTGGTTGCAAGTCTCGTGGGGTCTCTTAGAGGGAAGAGGGGAGAAGGGAATGGTGAGGGCGTGTTCTCCAGGGGGAGAGTGCACACTGGGTCCTTCATCCTGCGCATCCTGAGTGTATTTATCTTTCTTGCAGGTGGAAATCTTAGGGAAGATCTCAGGGGAGGGTCTCAATAAAATATTCATCAGTTTTCCAGGTGTGCTCTTTCAGGATCATGGTCTCACTGATTGGTCAGTGCCAGGGCAGAGGGTCAATAGTCAATGTAGCTGGTCCTGAGGCAGCCACAGCATCACTTGTCTGGTTTTGCTGCTTTTCTGGGCCTGGAGCTGAAATACAACTGAGGCCTAGATGTTATCTTTAGGGAGGAAATGCTAAGGGAGTCTAAACCAGCAATCTGCTGTGGGAGGGTAGGTTGCCCTGGGGATAAGGTTCTTATTTTCCCAGTTTTGTCCCTTTCTAGGCATCTGGGGCTTTTTGCCCTGGCGAGTTTCTGTACCTGGCCCATCATCTTTGCTCTGCTTATTGTCTAACTGTCTATATAACACTTGGACACCAGAATACCTTGCCAAGCCCACTTTCTGGCCCCTTTTCTCTGGGTTCTAACAACAGACATGTTGTTGGTGTGTATACGCCTAAGCTCAAGGGATGATCAAGGGGCAGCTGTTTGTCAGAGACCTGGTGGACAGAGCCTGGATATGCAGGCTGGAGTGTCTGTACATATACATAAAGCCCTTTGCAGTATGAGATGGGGCTGCAGGGGGGAAGAGAAGGCAGGCTATAAGCTGGGGGCCAGGGCTGGGGAATATTCTAGCACAGAACCTCAAGGACTCTTGTGGTTAACCCTCACCGGAGATTATTTTTCCATTGATTTTTTTTTTTTTTTTTTTTAAGAGAGAGAGTGGAAGGGAGGGAGAGAGAGAAATATCAATATGAGAGAGACACATGGACTGGTTGCCTCCTGAAAGTGCCCAACTGGGGCAGGGGACCAAACCTGAAACCCAGTTAAGTGCCTTTGACTGGAAATCGAACCCATGACCCTTCAGTGCATGGGTCAATGCTCTAACCACTGAGAACAGCAGCCAGGGCTTCCAGGACTCTTAAGTTTAAATTGGCCCAGCCAGCATAGCTCAGTGGTTCAGCATCAACCTATGAACCAGGCAATCATGGTTCAATTCCCAGGGCACATGCCCTGGTTGTGGGCTCAATCCTCGGTGGGGGGCATGCGGGAGGCAGCTAATCAATGACTCTCTTATTGATGTTTCTATCTCTTCCTCTCCCTTTCTCTCTGAAATCAATAAAAACACATTAAAATAAAACAATAAAATAAAATAAAATAGGTTAACATACTCTTAAAAAAAAAAGTTTAAATTCAAACCTGGCCTAGGTCATTATGAAGGTACACTTGTCATTATCAGCTGCTAGATCTTCACAATTAGCTTAGTTTATACTTTATAAAATTTAGACATATGGTATGTGGGTCTTCATTTGTGCAGTTCCCCAGGCCTACAAATGTTAGGGGTAGGCCTGATACTTGAGCTTAGAGCTAGGAGAGTACAGCTATAATGAAGGTCTCTCTCTTTGCTTGTCTACCTCCTAGGAGTAGGGTTTATGCCATGCTCCCCTATAGCCTTCCCTCTTCCCCCCTCCACCTACCTGGTATTGATGAGGTCTGGGCTACATAATCTAAAGTGGTGAGAGCAAGGCATCACCTTTGATTCTGACCCAACCAGAATTTCTGAGCCAGGCACTGTGCTGGGTTCTAGATTGTGCTCCATCACCCCACCTTTCCCCAAGGGACCATAGATGTCTAAGATTCTGATGAAATGCTTAAGGATCAGAGGATCTTTATAGCACTGTGAAATAATGGAACAACAAATTAAATAGAAACCAACATTTACCTCTGCACAGATTTCACAACCCTAATACTAGCTATCCACACTAGGCTGTGACTCCTTAGTACCCAAACCAAGGGCACGCAGTAGGTGCTTGATAAATTTCAGACAGATTACTGAAGTAATAAGAAAATAATGAGCTGAGACCCTGACTTCAGGCTACGGGAAGAAAGCAGGTAGAAAGAATTCTGCTTAGCTATGCAGGGTTTAGCCTGTGATACGTGGGAGTGAATGGAATCTGGGTAACAACTGGCCCCGTCTGGAGAGAAGCAGATCTCATCAGAAGAGGCAGTGGAAGCTGATATCTCTGGTTCAGAACAGCTGAGTGTGGTTTCTGGCAGTTGGCCCAGGAAGGTTTTAAAGCTATAGAGGTGGGTTTGTGGAGAAACTGTAGTTTCTATTCCCAGGTCTATCTAGGATGTTTTTTGGGTTCCTGGACCCAATTCCAATGTGTGTGTGTGTGTGTG